ATCAACTCCCAAATATGGCACAAAGATCTCTCTCCAAATATTTTGATTTTGTCTCTCTTACTTTGTTTACGCTGGTTTTCTATAGTACGATTTCCAAAAACCCGTTTAGATTTTAGATCTTTAGATATCTCTCTCTAAGCCAATATGTAAACGAAAAGGACACTATACAAGTTTAGCTAAACACAGTATACAGGGTGATTCAAAAGTAAGCGGCAATCTTTCGGGGGCGTATTCCTTGCATTAAAATAAGACAAAAAGTTCCTATTAACAAGGGTCCGGAAATGCTTCCTAGGGGAGCTACGCCCCTTCGAATAGGACACCTGAAAGACGTATTTTTCTCTATAACTTTGAAACCCCTCACAAATGGATTTTGATAATTGGTGTATTTTATAAACATTTAATGGCAATTAAGATACTAAATTGTAAATTCAAAAATCTAAATCAGTGGCGTCTCATACTGGGGAGGGTGAGGGCTAAAACATCCCTATTTTTTCTACTTTTCAGGTTTTTGCGATTTGCATTTGAAAACATTTGAAACATAAATTTTGAATTGTTCTAATCTTTCAGATATCTTTTTAATATTTGCAATATGTTCTTGAAGAGAAGTGGAAAATATAATAATATCATTTATGTAAACTAGACATATTTTATTTTGTAGACCTATTAGAACGTTGTCCGTTATTCTTTGAAAAGTTGCTGGGGCATTTTTTAATCCAAAGGGCATAATATGGTTAAATTTATAATGTCCATTTTCTACATTAAAAGCTGTTTTACTTATTGAGTTTGGATGCATTTCAACTTGGTGGAATCCAGAAGCTATAAGTCTAGAGTAGTAAAATAATTACTTCTTCCAAGTCTATCGAGAATGTCTGTTTATATTTGGTAATGGGTATCGATCGTCTATCGCTTTTTCATTGATTTTTCTATAATCTACTACCATTCGCCATTTTTTTATGCCTGAAGCGTCTAACTTTTTAGGTAAAATCCAGACAGGAGATGACCATGGACTACATGATGGTCGAATAATGTTATGTGGGTATCTATACGTCTTTGTGTGAACTGGGATTTCGTCTTTGGTCTCAATTTTGTGTTTAACTTGATTTGTGAATGATAATTTATCATTTGGTTTGTGAAAGACTCTAGGAAACAAATTTACAAATTTTTGTAAAGCTTTAAAGGTGCATAAAAGGTTTTAAGACGTTTCTTATAAGGTGTCTGTTTATAATCATTGGTTTTTTGGGTAATTATTTGTTCTGCGTTAAACAATTGATAATTTTCTTCTTCAAATAATTCACATATTTCTTGAATATCATTAATATGACAATCTAATGTGAGGATTTTGTCTTTTAAATTATAAACATCAAGTGGTAATTTACCATTTTTAATTGTAATAATAGTTAATGGAATATAATAATTTTCACAACACCAAATCTCAAGAAAAAAAAAATTGAAATTTCATCTTTTCAGTACTAAGCTACCTTATGATTAAAGAAGCATGACTTTCTGTATCGAATAAAAATTTGCAAGGAGAATCTTGAATTTAAGTGAAACGTAATTGATTTATTCGATAAGCATTAAGAGTTAACGCTGATTGGTTTGATCCGAGGCTGGGTAACTAAAAGTTTTCATCATCAGGATTTTCAGTCTCAGGAGAATCTGAGTAAAAATCGTGATTTTCTTCTAAAGAATCACAGAAATTTCCATAAAGTTTGTTCTGATTCTTGGTTTTGTTCTGGTTCTGGTAAGTCTAATTCAAAAATATTATTTATTTCTTCAATCGTATAACCAGATGGACTTGCGTTTGGGTCCAATATGGAGTACTTATCGCTTAAATTGTTGCCGATTCATTTGCTTATGAATATATTTGATTTTCCTGCGTCCAAATGGAAATCAGTTGAATTTTTGGATCTTTTTATTAAAGTTTACAACATACTAACATTATAGGTCCTTATTTGGATTTGGCCATCAATCACCCATCTGCAAAAAAAAGGAAACATTTATTCTAATTTTAAATATGACGAATTACTCTTCTTCAATTTAGATAAATGTTTCATGAATTATAATTAAAATTGAGTTTTCTATAATGTTATGCATATTCTGAAAATTAAATTTGAAATATTATCTATATTGATTTCCCAATAAATATTTAGAAAATATACTTGATATACTTGATAATTATCAATCCATCTAATGCCTTTAATATGGGATTTTGGTTTACATCATCTGATTCCTGAACATTTTTTGCAAGTCTTTCTCTTGGCGAAATGTACATTATATAGAATGATATAACAATAAATAATAGTAAATTGCAAATTTTATGTGATTTGGATAACAGAAACATTTCCAATGTTGAAAATGTACCTAGCAATAATCTTTCAAGTTTAATTTGAATGGAATACCTACTCTTGAATCCCGCTTCCTTCCGCCTAATTTGGGAAAAAATCGGCCACTGTATTAAAGAATAGACGTATCAAGGGAAAAATGAAGCTAATGATGTTGATAATAATATACTCAATGGGACCTAATATATATCCCATCAATCTTACAAGTTTATAAATGAATTTTCCGGGTGAGCCTTCTAATGGCTTTCCTTCGTCTGCAATCTCCATGCTTCTTTTGTTCCTCGATAAAAATTCAGGAGGATCAGTTAGTCCTAAATTTGGAAAATAAACATAAAATAACAAAATATTATCCATAAAATCTATTAAGTTTTGCTAAGTTTTTTTTATTTACATTAATTATTGTTGCAAAAAGAAAAGCACGTGTTATGACCGACATTGTTACAGATTTTGAACAAAGGATGTGTTTCTTTAGGTTTAATAGCATTTATATGTAGGGAAAAATTAATAATTTATTATAAAAATTTACGACTTTTGCGTAATTCAATTAATTATATTGTAGAATCAAATCGGAAGGTAATAAAAAGTTATTGCCTAATAATAGGATTTGAAATAAACTTAATCTGCATACCGCCTACCTAAATTGAAAGGTTAATTAAAACAATAAAAAATATTGTTGCGTAAGCGGGTTTTTAGATAAGCGGAGTAACTTTTGAAAAAGTGTTTCTTTCAAAATTGCTACACGCAACTATACAGGGTAGTCCAACAAGCGCGCCTCGGTCAATAGTAGCCGAACCGTTGAACTTATGGAAAAATGTTCTGTATAAAAGTTTTAGCATTTCATCTCTGCTAGAATCTTAAATTATTTTCAAGTATACAGGGTGTCTCAAAAAAGAGTAATCACAAATTTTATATTTGTTTTAAACGGAATACCGTATGTTTTTATGTGGCAAAAGAAGCCTCTATATGCTCTCTGTATTTAACTTTGAAATCGCTTTTAGGTTGAATGCAGCGTTGCCAAGTTATGATTTTTCGAAGAAGACCAAAACATATTTTTCTAAAATTGTCATATTTCCGTCACTGTATATTGATTACCCCTAACAAATCACATGTAATCTAATGTAAGCCTAGTTGCTCCTACAATATCTTCATTTTATTTGAAAGGACACGTCTAAAGCTATAAAATTTTCAAAACTCCCGAAAAACTTTCCAGGTAAAACTACCAAAATTACTTTACTTTTTACCATTTTTGATGCAAAGTTAAGGGAAAATCTTAATATCTCAAAATAATAATGAGATAGATACGGCAAATATGATATTTTCTGAAAGAGGACATTTCCAGCTTTTCGATAAAAAAATATTATACGGGGTGTTGTATTTAAAAAACTCAATTGAAATGAACTTTAAAATTGACATGTTTAGACAAATATTTTGGACACCCTGTATACTTAGATCGAACCTATAATATCTTCATATCAACAAAAACTGTTAGACTCTAATTTCATCGGCGAAAAGCCGATAACAAAAAAATCTTGATTCTAATAATTACTGTAGTCTAAGCTAAAAATAATAGAATGTCCAAGGAAGGCTTTGTGTGCCGTATTTATAATAAAATACTGCTGACGGTTGCAATCGTGTGGGCCACAACTTGATATGACGGTACTTTTCCAGTACAGTACGGCTTACTCAGCATCTTTATAATAATGTGAGCTCTTACAGATCCGTACGCTTATATTTTACATTGAAAAGGAGAATTATTTGTATAATAATAACATAGGACTTTATAATATAACTCCTCCCTCGTTAAGTGGTTGCAAATTGAGATTGACTAACAATGTTGGGCAACTCAATCTGCACCTCAGTTTTACTTTGACTACATTTTCCTGTAAAATATAGAATAAGAACACACATTATTGGTTCTGAAATTTAACTTTTTTAATGGGTCAGTCTTTAATTTATTTGCTTCTTTAATCGCTGATTAAAGAACTTCGGTCTACTGCTTTAAGTCTTACAGTTGTGGTATTTTCTAGAAGTTCAGGAATGTCGATGGTGGGTAGTTCGAGTTCTGGGTTGAAGTTCTCATGCGTGTCTTCCAAAAATGTTGGATTGTTAATTGTTATTGAACATTTACCTTTGGAAATTACGATTGGACTGGAAATAATTTCGATGTATTGCTTCTGGTCACATTGCCGCAATGTCGTTTTGGAACAACCTGTAGGGGCAACACGATACCCTTACTAGAAAAAAGAGAGTTTTTTGTTTTTCGTGGACTGTATTAATAATTAGAAAGGGAAGAAAATAAAAGTTAAAAGAGCGAGCTTATAACATCATCTATTGCTTTACAATCACAAATCACAGGCAAAGTTTACATAGGTGAAAACGGAACAACAGCGCCTGATTGCAAATATATGGCGAATTTAAACACGTAAATAACCAAAGCTTGTACTAAGGTTTCTTGAATAATTACAGAATCAGTTCGATACCGAGTTCACGGGCAATTTTATTCCGATTTTCTCGACTATTTTTTAGAATAGAACGTTAGAGAAGAGAACACTGAGAGCAGAAAGATTAGAAAGAAGCGTTCGGCCGTACCGCGTCAGGAGCAATGATCCCTTTCAAGATCTAATGGCAGCTACTTTCACTTGTTTGTATAGAAATTAGAGCAAATTCTTTGCTACGCCACCTGCTACGCCACCTGCTACGCCACCTGCTACGCCACCTGCTACGCCACCTGCTACGCCACCTGCTACGCCACCTGCTACGCCACCTGCTACGCCACCTGCTACGCCACCTGCTACGCCACCTGCTACGCCACCTGCTACGCCACCTGCTACGCCACCTGCTACGCCACCTGCTACGCCACCTGCTACGCCACCTGCTACGCCACCTGCTACGCCACCTGCTACGCCACCTGCTACGCCACCTGCTACGCCACCTGCTGCGCCACCTGCTACGCCACCTGCTACGCCACCTGCTACGCTACCTGCTACGCCACCTGCTACGCCACCTGCTACGCCACCTGCTACGCCACCTGCTACGCCACCTACTACGCCACCTGCTATGCCTCCTGCTACGCCACCTGCTACGCCACCTGCTCCGCGACGACAACAAGATTGTGCAGTTTTAATTGATGCACCGATTCACCTGATTTTTAGATGGGCCAATTAGGGCGCAAGAAACATATCCTTAGAATTATGGGATCTAACAATAGTCAATTATTAGGTTTTAATTTAAGTTTTAGCATCTAAATTATTTTTAAATTATTTTTATCTTTGAATTATTAAAAATCTCCAACATTCCCATTTTTCCCCCGCATTCAAGTTTCAGCTTCAACAAAAATTAAGAAGCAACAAAGATGGGAACTTAAGAGATAGCGAAAGCAACAAAAATGGTATCTAATTCATGGAGTTAACGTGTAGGCGTTACTGGAAATTCCTATGAGGGGGATGATGAAAACTGCCAGGAACATTTTGGTTTTTCTGAAACAAAATGTTGTCGTTTTACCATTTGTTTGCTAAATCTGACTTGTATTTTAGTATAGTTTATCTATTCTAAATTGAACCACTTTATTTTCAAGCTATGTATAAGGTACGATCAAATATTAGGCACCTTTGGCGTGAATAAATACTCAAAAAACCTATATAAATGTTTTGAATATTCCCTACCCGAAACTACAATCGACAAAATGAAATACTGGTTGTCAGAACAAAATTTCGAAGAGATTTCTTCATGTTTATTTGCTTGGGGTAGCTTGGGCGACGCGACGGCGTGGCGTCGACAGTATAGTTTCAAGGTAGTTTGTTCTTTTTGTCAGAGGTGGAGGCAGGTTTATACGTGTGTATATTTTTATAGAATAATTGTTTAAAATTTTAGAAAAAATATCTCCTAAACGGCACTGGGGCATGTGTATTCCAAAGTATCTCAAATATAATAATAAATATAAATTAAATTTTACCTAGAATAATATCGTAATTATATTGATTTATTATATTATGAAACATTTTTGGAAACCTCGCCGCCTATGCTTCATAAAGAAAACGCCGACTGTTGATGGAGAATTATTTTTTGTAGTGGTTCAATTGAGAATAGATAAACTATACCATAACGAGGACTAATTTTCTTTGTGTCAAATTGCTTAATGAAAAAAGGATCTTTTAATTCAGGTTCCTTTTCTCGTTGTTTATTAATTTTCAAATTCTGTGTTTGTTTTGAAATAAATTTGTCATGAATTACATTATTTTGAGTTTCTAATGATTCGGCAAGATTATTGATATAATCTGTGGTTATCCTATTTTGTGAATTTTTAATAGGTATTGAATAATTTAAATCGCTTTTAATTAATTGGACAGGTGTGTAACACTATGTATGCTGTTGTTATAGTTAAAGATTGCAATTACCATTAAATCAATAATGTTTTTATTAGGGCTTTGTAATTTCAAACTTGGTAAACTTTCTCTTAAGGTAGAATGTAATCTCCCAATAGGACTATTCGAATTAGGGTTTCGAAATGTCGTATAATAAAATTCGATTTTATCTAGGGTAAAAATCTATTACAATTGCATTTTTAAATTCAGTTCCGTTATCAGAAGTAATTCTTCGTGGAATTCCATGGTAACTGTAATATCTTATTAGTTGTGATGCAATCTCAACTGATGTTTTGCTAATAATTGGGATAGCTTGTGTAAATTTCGAAAAGCTGTCAATAATTGTTAGGAATTTTTGATTCGAAACAACGTATGCATCAATATAAAGGTGTTCAAACGGATTTGAATTGATTGGTGTTGGTTTAAATATTATTTTGTAGGGTTGCCTTCCATATTTTGTCTAATTACATATTTCGCATGTTTTGACATTATGCTTGTACGTCTTTTTTTAAATTGAGCCAATAATATCGTTTCATTAAACATGAAACATTTTCTGTAACTCCGCGATGGGATGTTCTAGTCTCATGGTATAGTTTAATTTTTTCTTGCTGTTCATCAGTTTCTGTTATGTCTTCGACAAAAGAATTGGAAATACATAACTTGAACGAATTTGAATTGAATGATGTACTTAGAATTCTAATCTAAGTATAATAGGTTTTGACGTTTTGTTATGAAAATACAAACATTACGTATTTTGTGGAGGATATTCTTTTATCAATTTAATAATTTGATCTTTTAATGGGTCATTAGGTAGAAAGAATGTTATTCTGGTTATCTTAAATGATATTAATAATAATAGTCATAACTTTCATGTGTTGGATAAAAATGGTTTATTGAAATCAGGGTGTTGTAAAATAGGATCATTGATATAATATCTTACAAATTATTCAATTTCTTGAACGGTTTTTGGGATTGGAAATTTTTTGTTGTTTCGATTTTCTTTGGGTTTGGTTCAATACCATTTGAAGTTATGACATATCCCAAGAATTCTTCTGATTTATTTAAAAATTCGGATTTTTTCAATTGAATTTTTAGATTGAATAATCTTTCAAATAATTGGCAATAGGTATGTTCTTGAAGAAGAGAAGTGAAAAATATCATAATATCATCCAAGTAAACTAAATATATTTTATTTTGTAGACCTATTAGAACGTTGTCCGTTATTCTTTGAAATGTTGCTGGGGCATTTTTTAATCCAAAGGGTATATAGTTAAATTTATAATGTCCATTTTCTACATTAAAAGCTGTTTTACTTATTGAGTTTAGATGCATTTCAACTTGGTGGAATCCAGAAGCTATAAGTCTAGAGTAGTAAAATAATTACTTCTTCCAAGTCTATCGAGAATGTCTGTTTATATTTGGTAATGGGTATCGATCGTCTATCGTTTTTTTATTGATTTTTCTATAATCTACTACTATTCGCCATTTTTTTATGCCTGAAGCGTCTAACTTTTTAGGTAAAATCCAGACAGGAGATGACCATGGACTACATGATGGTCGAATAATGTTATGTGGGTATCTATACGTCTTTGTGTGAATTGGGATTTCGTCTTTGGTCTTAATTTTGTGTTTAACTTGATTTGTGAATGATAATTTATCATTTGGTTTGTGAAAGACTCTAGGAAACAAATTTACAAATTTTTGTAAAGCTTTAAAGGCGCATAAAAGGTTTTAAGACGTTTCTTATAAGGTTTCTGTTTATAATCATTGGTTTTTTGGGTAATTATTTGTTCTGCGTTAAACAATTGATAATTTTCTTCTTCAAATAATTCACATATTTCTTGAATATCATCAATATGACAATCTAATGTGAGGATTTTGTCTTTTAAATTATAAACATCAAGTGGTAATTTACCATTTTTAATTGTAATAATAGTTAATGGAATATAATAATTTTCACAACACCAAATCTCAAGAAAAAAAAAAATTGAAATTTCATCTTTTCAGTACTAAGCTACCTTATGATTAAAGAAGCATGACTTTCTGTATCGAATAAAAAATTTGCAAGGAGAATCTTGAATTAAAGTAAAACGTAATTGATTTATTCGATAAGCATTAAGAGTTAACGCTGATTGGTTTGATCCGAGGCTGGGTAACTAAAAGTTTTCATCATCAGGATTTTCAGTCTCAGGAGAATCTGAGTAAAAATCGTGATTTTCTTCTAGAAAATCACAGAAATTTCCATAAGTTTGTTCTAATTAGAGACGAAAACATTAATAACGGCCTGTCAGGAACAGGTTATCGCCACAAACTACATGAAAGCTAATATATCAAAAACCGGCGGCAGAGACTCGAAATACAGACTCTGCCGGTCATTTAATAGAACCATACATCATCTAATGGCGGAATGTCCCATACTTGCAAAGAAAGCCTACCTCGATTGGTACAACAGGCCACAACACATTGGCCAAATACCTGCACTGGAATATTTGCAAGGAATACAACATAAAGGTAGAAGACAAGTGGTATCAGCACAACCCGGACCCAGTTATAGTCACTATAATCTGGATTATGCAAATTCAAACTGGCAGGTGTATCAAAGCAAACAAAATGAACATCATAATAAAACAAGAGAAAGAAAAAAAATGCCTGATCATTGACGTTCCGATACCATAGAAATATAATATAAACCAGGTGCCGCAAAAACACCTGAAATACAAAGACCTGCTCATAGAAATACAAAGAATGTGGAACCTAGGATCTAAAATCATCCCTATAGTAATATAATAATAAGAGCTGAGGAAAACCACCTATTTAAAATATTATTTCTTCAAATCATAACTTTTAAAAAAAATGTTTACTGAATAAAATTAAATGTTGCAACCATGTATGCGCCGTACAAGCTTATAGGAACGAGCGCGCCACAGAAAAATTAAGGTACCGAAAACCGAAGAGGATAGAAGAGAAGCGAGGAATAGGCATTAGAAAAACGAGAGAAGAAGCTGGCGCTGTTCCTTTAGACGCTTGTCTGGAATTATTCATTATTCAATTTTCATTTCTATTTTGCATTAAAATTGATTGTTCAATCCAATTTGTTATTAGTGTGTGTGTAAGGAGCGTACAGGTTAGTGGATTAATTATTATTTTGTTTTTGAGAGTTCAATTTGTGCAAGTTCCTATTATTTTGTTCATTTTTATGTATTTTTTGTTTGTTTATAACAATTTTTATAACAATATGTGCATTGTTTATGTATTTAACCAAAATCGTTACATGCTGTAAACAACACAGATAAAGAAGTAAATTAAAACCTAAGAAATTATGTGCTGTCTTTTGTGCTGAAATTTTGATTTTGTGTATTCAGAGCGTGCATTAGGGCATTGTTGAATTTACTAACATTTTCCTACCCTGACGAGCGAATATCCTACCGAACAAAGGAAAGAGATATTGGCTCAAAAACAACTATAGCCGTGAGTTTACGTAACCAGGGACCTCCGTACCTGCCACAGATGGGCTAACTAACCAAAACTCTTCAGTATTGAATATAGGTAGTGTTGATTGAAAGTAGTGTGTGTGATTGAAATTTTAGCACAAGAACAGGGGCGGTACCTGATTTAAACTTTTATTAACTTAAAATATCGAATTATTGACTCACAATTGTTATTTAAAATGACAGTATGTTTCGAGTTTTGAGGAATGTTAGAGCGAGGGTTTCTCTGCCGTGCTCTTTCTCCTCGTTAGTTCCAGGTAGAGAACGGTACGTTTTTTTTTTTGATAATAAAGGAGACATTTCACAAATTTTTCGT